TAAGCAGATGCTGAGAGTCAAAAACAAACTTTGGGCAGAGCGCAGGGAGTCATGTAGAGGAACAGAGAGGTGGGAATAGAGGGACATGGAGGGGACAGGAGACCCACAAGGAGATCAACAAAACTAAATGATCTGAGCCCAGGGAGGGGGGATCTTGCATAGACTGATGCATCAACCAAGGACCATGCAAGGAGAGAACCTAGACCCTCTGCTCACTTGTGGATGATTGTCAGCTCAGTCTCCATGAGGATCTCTGAGTGAGGGGAGCAGGGGCTGCCTCTATCATGAACTCAGTTGACTGCTCTTTAAACACTCGCTCATGATGATGCAGCCTTGCCAGGCCATGGAGGAAGAGGATCCAGGCAATCCTGATGAGACTTAACAGCTATGGGCAAATGGCAATAGTGGAGAAATCCCCCTTTCAGTGAACTAGGGAAAGGGGATGGGGAGAAGAGAGAGGGAGGATGGGACTGGGGGAATTTGAGAGAAGGGGTTTCAGTCGGGATATATAACAATTGGGAAAAAATAAAAATTATTTTTAAAAGATGGAATGAAAAAGGCTCTTGAATATATTTCTGTGGTGAGAGGCAGAGAGTAGGGGATGAAGGAGAGAGAAAAAAATTCTCAAACTTCATAGAAAAACATACAATGATATACCACAACACACACACACTCATATTAAAGGCCCATAAGGCCAAATGTTGATAAAGACATGGAGTCATTGGCACACTCATACAAGGGTGGAGGAGATGCAAAATTGTATAGTCATTTAGAAGACAGTTTAGCATTTCCTTCAAAAGTTAAACATGTACTTGTCCTAGGTCTGTAGTCTTATGGGATGAAAGCACCAATCACAAAACCCATATTTGAAAAAGTTCTTAGGAGCTTAATTAAAAGTAGTCAAAAATGGGTCACTCAGATGTACATCAGCTAGAGAGTAGATAAAATGTGTTGTTGTATTCAAGTACCCACAGGATTATTAAATGAAAATCGCAGTGCCAAGCAGGCCATACTTCCCTATGAATTATTGGTCAGAGATACCAACAACACTATATGCTACTGTCATTACTCTTGATTTCTGTCCTAGTTTGGTTTCTAGTGCTGTGATAAAACACCTCAACCAAAAGCAAACTGGAAAAGAAAGGGTTTGTTTGGGTTACATTTCCTGAATCATAGTCCATTGTTGAAGGAAGTCAGGACAGGAACTCAAACAGGAACAGAGGTAAGAACCATAGAGGAAAGCTGCTTGCTGGCTTGCTCATCCTGGTTTCTTCAGCCTTCTTTCTTATACAATCCAGGACCATCTGCCCAGGATGGCACCTCCCCCACAGGGAGCTGGACCTTCCCAAATCAGTCATTAATCAAGAAAATGCTCCAATATTTGCCTACAGGACAATCTGATGAAGGCAATTCCTCAGTTGAGTCTCTCTTCCCTGGTACATCTAGGCTTGTGACAAATTGGCAAAAATTAAACAGCACAATTGCTCACTAGAACTAGAGAAAAAAACTGGAAAGTGGGTAAAATGTGAACTGGATGGGAAGAGTCTACCACGGAAGACACAACAGACTTTGGCTACAGGGCATGGAGATATCAAGCTACAACTAAACTGAAAACTTCCTCTCTGGTGGCTAGCTTTCATGGTCTGAGAAGGAACTATGCAGTCCCACAGGGAGTGGGAGGTTAATCATCCTTGGTATTCCCCAGCAGCAAACCCTGTGGCCTACAATATCAACTCGCCCAGTCGAGTTGTACCCACTGGTTCGATACTGCCACAGAGGTTATAAGGGTAACCAGCTGTTTGGGGATTGGATTTGAGACCTGCTCTGTAGGAGATAATTCATGTCTGGTACTGTAAACTTTGTCAAAAGGCCAAGGTGTGGGAAGTCACGGATGCAAGGAGAACCTAGTGCTGTTGTCTTGCTAAATGAACATGTTGTCAGCTGCTCGCTAAACATTTATGTGTGTGCTCGTGGATTAGAGATGCTCTCAACCTTGGCCAAAGAAGCTTCTCTGTGCAGTAGTCAGCAGTTCATGCAGAGTCTTGTAACTGGTCAGAGAACTGGGAATAAGTGACTACTGAGTACGCGGTCCTAAATGGGACAGCTATGTCAACACTCTATCCCAAAGCAAAGGGAACATTGTGGAAGAAGTTGCAGAAAGAATGGAAGAGCTACAGGATGAGAAAGAGTTCTATGAAATCTGTCTTCTGAACATGGCATGGCCATGGTACTCATGAACTCACTGCAGGTGTGGTTATATACACAAGCTCAAACCAATAAGATCAATCAATATTCCAAAGGCAGTGCTAATTGGATTCAGTTCATTGCAAAAATAGGGGCTGGAAGTACAAGAAGGTGGGGGATGTGTTAAGGTTCCTAGAGTAGTGGGAAGGGAGAATTGAGGAGTAAATATGTTGTTTACTTGTATGAAATTCTCAAAGAATAAGCAAGAGGGTTGTTTTTTTAATGTGTTGTGTGTATATCCGGAAAGGCACTCTTAACTGAAGGACAGCACCAGTTGAATCTCAGAGACATTGTACTTTGTAACACGGCCAATCACAAATGATTCTTTCCCATAAGACAGCTAAGGCTCTGATGCTTCCAGATTATATGCAGCTTCCAAAATATTCCATCAGAAAGCAGTCAAGTGGTTGCCAGGGAGCAGAGACCAGGCAATGATTAACATAAAGGAGCAAGAAGAAATTTTTTTCAACAAAGAAAACATTCTCAAACTTGAGGTGAGGGTGCTTACATATATCATGGGTTTATGCATATTTACCAAGATAGTCATACTAATCATTTGATAACAAAGCTTTTCAAAAATAACGCAGCTACTGAAAGTCTAAAAATCCTTTTGTGCAGTTCCCTCTGCATCTGCAGAAATGAAAACATCACAGAGGCATGGTGCAGCAGAAGTTCAATAACGGCTTCAGGTTTTTGTGAAAGTATCAGGGGCCAGGCTTCCTGTACTCCCAGGAGGTTGTCCCTCTGCAAGTGAGAGTGGAACCATCCACTGGAGCGTGAACAACCTATCAATGCTCACGCCTCCAATGGAAAGTGACCCTCCCTCAGGAGGCATCAACTTCCAATAGCTTCTTAGCAAGGAGTGGGGTCTTGGGAACTCCTCACCCCTTCATGCTAAGATTTTAACTGGCTTGGTCTTGTGCAGGTTTTGTGCAAGCAACCACAGCCTGTTGGGAGTCCTGATGTACAACAGCCATGTCACGTCCAGAGGACAGGTTTTCACAGTACCTCTCCCTTTCATCCAGATCTTGCATTCCTTCCATTCCCTCTTTCCTCAATGTTCCCTGAGCCTTAGGTGGAGGAAGTTGATAAGAAACCCCATCTATGCCTGAGTATAACCCCATCTATGCCTGAGTATCAAGTCACTTCTTCTAAGCACTTTAGCTAATTATGAGAACTTTTTGCAATGGGTAGTAATTAATGCAAAGAATTATCACTCCCATGCTAGCCTATGGGTGATCTTCAATGCAGTGGATAAACCAAGAGGGACTGTGATAACTTGGAAGAGATGAAAGATAAATTGTTCAGAGGTAAGGGCAGTCTTGGAGTCTGACACAAAGGATCAGCAGCTTGGTGAGAGAGAGAAAATGTTTTATGAGAATACAGAGGTAGATTGAGCTTGGTGAGAGAGAGAAAATGTTTTATGAGAATACAGAGGTAGATTTGGCCCATTTTTGTAATGGTATACAGAAGAGATAGTTCTATTGAAGCACACAAAAAAAAAAAAACCCTAGGGAAAGTATACAGCTAAGAAAGTAAATTAATGAGCTAGAGAACCAAGCAGAATGTGGGTTCTAGAAAAAGCAGGGAACTGTAAAAGACAAAGAGGCCCTCAATACAGGCCCTCAGGGAGACAATTTCTTCTGCTGAACATGCCCAGGCCTTCTAATGCCTTATCTACACAACCCACAGTCAAATATCGCCACAGATATGTGTTGTGACCATGCAAGTGACGTCTCACCAAGTCTGTAACAGCCCTTGGAAAAAACACAAACGTTGATGTCAGCAGACAGCAAGGAACTAAAATGGTTCTTGTCACACCACCACCACCACCACCACACTGTCTCAGGCTAAAAGCACAAAAGGACGTGACCAGACAGGCTCCTCACTTTAAAAAAAAAAAAAAAGTGCCATTCACAATTTGAGGACAGAAATAGATAAATGAGTGGATTTTTACAACATCAGTCATTGGTAGCAATCTATGGAGACAATAAATATCAAACTTGTTGGTTGTTGGTAATCTTGTCGACTGATATGGGGATCATTCTGAAAGTTTTAAGACTCATATTTGTATATTACATATTTGTATGTCCTACATCATGATACTAAGATTTGGATTCATTAGGCAGTGGCCAGGCCATTAGGAGCATTATCTATTTTACCCAAGGAAAATACATAGGACAATCTTCAAGCCAGATTTGCCTCATCACACAGCAAATTTGCTGGCATCTTAACACTGAACTAACTTCATGATCACTAACACTGGGAACAATTTTTTGTTGTTTATAAGCTATACCCCTTGGGAAGCATCCTTAAATACATAATGGCATACATTCTCATCTGGGCAGTTATTATATATTCATATATGCTGTCCATATTTAGAACAAGTCACCCTTGCATTTCTGAGCTCATTGGGCCCTGCACCTCAGTCTCACATCGGCTGCAGTGCTCAACTTACAGTGATGGTTTTCTTCTCGTGGCATATTGAATGTACTAAGACACCAGAGATGTTACTATTCGGGCTATAAGCGACTCATAGAGAATGGATTGGGGACCACTGCGAGATGGACATGGCGTTTTAATACCCACTCACTTCTGGTGCGGTCAATATTGTCCAGAGCTCCTGATCCAGATTTAGGATTTGGGAAAGAGTAAAAGGAGGATTGGGAGAAGATGAGGCAATGAAGGAAGGCAAAGATGCAATCCCACTAGGGTACAGAGGAAGGTTGGTTGGTATCCACTGGGGCTCATACAAACACAGTCATGAAGGAATTTATTACATATGTGAAACAACACAGGACCCAGACTCATACCCATGGCATAAGTGACATGCATGAGTGTTAGTGGGATAAATACATGAAGAGGGATGCATGGATACATGAAATATGGGGTCATCCTTCTTTTCTGAGTGTGGGGTCACCTTAACTTGACTCCAGTTCCATGCAGGACACTCCACTATTGGCTATAACAAGCTACAGCTCCGTGTGCTTGTTCTCAACATCCTTCAGCTCCTGGATCTTCAGGGGCAGTGTCTTCATCCAGAACTGCATCCTGTTGGCCTTCAGAGCATTGCCCACAGCAGACTGGATGTCCAGCTGCAGGTACTGTTCATCCTGGTTGAACACAGGCCAGTGGGGCAAGTCCACACTGTTGGGGTTCCTGTGGACACACCCTCACAGAAGGGTGGGGTGAGGATCACTATAAGTTATACTGCCTCCAGACCTGATCCCCGAGTTTGGGTTAATATGGTGGTTGAAACAGGCCAGAAGTGTAAGGACGCAGAAGGATGGTCTCATGCCAGAGGCACATTAAAAACTCCCTCGTGTCACTCCATAATGAGGAAGGCCATCTGGGTTGATTTCTCTTTTCTCTTTGTAGTGGGCTCATATACACAAAACTAGAGCAGTTTGGCCACACACACCCCATACCACTGCAAGATGACTACTGACTGACACTCAAATGGGACCACTGTCTGAGTGGAACCTGCCCCTGAGCCTTAACCTATCTTGGGATAAAGGATCTATAGGTGCTTAGGAGGCTACCACAAACAGGAGGAGGCCCTGGGGGATTCTGGGAAGATGTCTTCTTACCCGTGACGTGCAAAGTTGGCCCAGTACTTCATTATCCTTCTGCTCAGCAGCTCCTCCTCCTCAGTGAATTCAACTGTAGCCATGAGGAAGACAAAGGTCGTCCAGGACCCAGCCACCCCATGTGGCTGCCACATTGACAATCGCAGCTATACCCTAACTCCAGCACACAGGTTCCGCAGCTGCTGATCCAGTATCTTCCATTTCCACCCTTCATTTACTTGCCCCGGCCTCTACTTGAATGCACCCCATCCCCGGCTTATTCTTAGTCCAGAGGCCCTTTCTTTTCTCTGGGGCAGTTTTGCAGGAAACATCATGGCTTTAATTGGGCCTCTCTGACACCCTGACACCACCTACCATCAGGGTGGGGACAGGGACAGAAAACCCAGTCTACCCTGGAAAATATTCAGATTCTAATCCTAGTACATCATTTTGAGTGGTGAGATGGCTGTGAGAAGCTCTCCAAGAGCTTCAGTTTCCTCAGTTGCACAGTGAACTCAGACAACCCTCAAGCACTCATCTGGGCCCCCATCCTGCTCATGGAAGAAAAAAGAAGAAGACTCACATTTGCTGCCCCAGAAAGAGGATCCAAAGACAAAGAAAATCTCATCACCATGGTCAGCCTTCACATGGGGTGGCCTGACATCTTTGAGGAGGTTGGGCGGATGCTGGAACTCATAGAGGTAGACGGAGGCATGGGAACCTGGGGATGGGAACACAGAGTGAAATAGTAGTTTCTTACTTGGACCTGGTCCTGCCTTATCTTTTGTGTAAAATATGTTGGCCTAAAGTTGTCTGGAATTGCATGGCTGAGGATTTGAGGGAGTGTAAGGCTGAAGCATGAGCCTTGGAAAAGGCCTTGGTTAAATCATGACCCTGGCTTTCCCACCTACCTGAGTAGTTTGGGGAAGTTCTAGAACATCGTTACCTCATTTTCCTCATCTGTGCCTGGAAAAGGTGTCACACTGTCACACTACACAAGCTTGAGTGTAACCCCATTTACTGAGTTAAGAGCCCTCAGATGCCTGGCACGAGAGAAGACATAAAGACATAGATGGGGCTTGTATATCAGAGGGTTGTCCTTAGACCCACAGCTTTGAGACATCTCCTTGGAATAGTACCTCTTTTTTTTTTCTTTTTTGTAAGTACTAGAGATTAAACGCATGACATCATGCATATGAAGCAAGTGTTCTACCACTAGCTAGAGTCCCAACCCAGAGGCATCTTTGTAGACATATTCACTCTGAGCACGTGCTACTTTCAAGGCAGGGATCACAAACATGAAGTCCTTCATCATCTCCTGGAACTGTACTCGGACAGTCTCAGGATCTTCAGTATCTCCCAAGTACTCCTCTACCAGTAAGTCAGCAATGGCAGGAGGCAGCATCTAGTTCAGAGGGATCCAGAAAAGCTGCGTTAGGAAAACTTTAGCACTAGGAAGTAGTATCCTCAGGTGAAGAGAGGGTGGTCTGAGATGGGAGAAGGTAAAGGGACAAAGGACAAGCCTTAGGGTAACCCTATTATGAAACAGAAACATACCCCAGTCTTTGCTCAAGTGGCTCCTGGAAATGGCAAATAACTCCCTATTCGTTGGCCCACAACCTTAAGAGTCTTACCATTTGTGTTTGTGTTCTCTGTAGAGCAGCCTGTATGGTCTCTCTGTCCATTTTTCCCCCAGTATCAATGTTGTTCAAGTACTGAGAGGTGGATGGAAAGGTTTAAGTTGGAAATAGGCTATAACTGGGGCTGTGGAGCTCTGAGCACCCTCTCCCACACTGTGCCCTCCTCAGGTAATATAGAAGTTGTGTCTGGGACTCACCTTTGGGATGTCCCAGCTATACTCATCATTGTTGAAACCAATGATGCTAGGGACAGGTCGAAGATCAGCAGAGGCCAACAGCTCCTCAGGATGCCTAGGTAAGAACTCCCCATCCACCACACCAGGCATAAACATAAAAACCTGAAAGGGCATTCAAGGTGAGGGATCAAATTCACGTCCCAGACATTTTCTGATGGCAAATAAGTTAATTTTGCTCTTTGTTAATTCATCTCATGATGCCATACATATCTCTGTTTTTGCTGAACTTGTATCCATTTCACATGGATAGCTACAAGGCATCAAGTCTTGTATATGAGATAATTGTCTCTGAATGGTAAGGACTTTCTGTTCCACTCCCTACTGAACCCCTTTCCTAGACACAAATGCCATGCAATCAAACCTTGGTGATAGCCAGAATCTCCTCTTGACTCTTGCCTCTCAGGCAGCCCACTAGGGCCTTTGAGTCCATCTGCTCACATCCTGACAGGTTGGCCACCACCTGTATAGAGCACAAGCGGGAGCCTGCTCATCCTTCCAGGCAGGGAGGGAAGTTTTTCTAATCCTCCTAGCTAGCCTGGAGACCCCCTAAATCACATGGGGTAAACAGTATGGGATGCATCAGGAATACAATTGCTCTGCTTCCCCGGTGAGATGAGATAGAGGGGAGGGCTTGCTCCTATGGTTCTGAACACAATGGGAGCTACTGGGCACAGCTTTCTTCTTCTTCTTCTTCTTCTTTTTATTTTTATTTTTTTTAAACAGAGAAAATACTCAGTTTATGCGAGGTGGAGGAGTATGGATCCTGACCCTTGAAACCTTCAGAGGGAAGGGGTGTTGAGATGCCACCATGATTTCTATTGTCTTCCCAGAGCAGAAGGAAGCAAAAGCTCTGAGAGTCAGGGCTGGGGTAGGGTGTTAGGGTTGGAAGAATTGAGGGCACTCACTGTGTTCATGACCTCAGCAGAGTGAGAGATGAAGCCAGGAAATGTGGCCACCCCACTCTCCATGATGGCTCCATGGAATAGTCCTTGGGACATGGGGGACACAACATGTGAAGACACACTTATGCCACCTGCTGACTCGCCAAAAATGGTGACCCGGTCAGGGTTGCCTCCAAAATGAGCGATATTCTGCTGGACCCAGCGTAGGGCAGCCACTTGATCCAGGTAACCCCAGTTGCCTCTGGCATGCTGGTCTCCAGTGCTGAGAAATGGCAGGGACAGAAATCACAGGACTGTCCCATCTCTACTCAGCCACCAATTCTCTGCCCAGCCTTGGGCTCACCTGAAGTAACCCAGGACACCCAGACGATACTGGATAGTAACCACCACCACATCCTCAAGGGCTGCCAACTTCGATCCATCATACAAGGAAGCCATACCAATAATCAGTCCACCACCATGGATCCATACCATCACCTGGTAAAATAAAATAATCGATCAGGACATTTCTCTTACACAGCCCAAGTATCACCTGGGCTGTCCTCTAGAATGTTCATTGCTTTGGCTCTGAAGCTTCCCACATAGGCAGATACAAGCTGTCATGGTCTAATGAAAATCCGAGTTCCACCAGGAAGAAAAGTTTCTCAATCCTTATTATTCTGCTTCATGTACCAAAGCCTGTTTCCAATACTCTGGGAGCCCCTCTGAGGTGAAAAGATAAGACATATGTCCTTCATAGTACCACATGAAAATGGAGTAAGTGCCCTCTATTCCTATTGGCCAAACAAATGACTGCATTTTTAGGACTTGGAAGACTCCAAAGCTCCTCTGTAGGAATTTTGAGTGGGGTTTCTGGACGCAAGTCCTGAACTCATTAGGTTACAGACTGGCCTCTCAGCACCTCCCGAGGTTTCTGTCCCCATGGCCATGAGTTAGCTACCTACAGCAGACAAGAAGGCATTCTTTGAACATAACATCAGGGCCTATTTTGAAGCAAAGCCCATACTGATCTTAACCCATCTAGATTTCTTAGAGGAAATGTCCATCCAGCCCAAGTTGGCCATGACCTGACACTCACAGGCAGGTTGGAGCCCTCAGAGGCATGAGCAGGTGAGTAGATGCTGAGGTAGAGGCAGTCTTCAGACATAGAAAGAAGAGGCGGGGAGCTTTTGAACAGGGTCTCAGCTAATTCTCCCATTACAGTATCATTCTGTGGACACCTGTTGACAATGATAAACAATTAACTATTCCAAGGACTGAGCAGAAGTCAAAGCCAGAAACCGAGTAGACCTGCTTCTAGAAAACCACCTGCTCATCATGATGCACTGGGAATATGAGATCTTTTCTAAAGTCCATCTTGGGGCTGGAGAGATGGCTCAGTGGGGCTGCTCCTCCACAGGACCCAAGTTAGATCCCCCACAACCACTTAACAGCTCAGAACCCTCTGTAACTCTATTCTCAGGGGATCTAAGGAGCACTTTATGCACATTTAGCACAGACATACACGCAGGCAAAACACCTATATACCGAAAATAATAAACAAAGAAATATATGCATACATACATACAGACATAAATTCCCTCTTAGACAGATAAAGGCCACAGCTTCTGGGGAAGCTGTGATGGGTGGAGCCAGACCTCCAAGCAGAGGTTTGGAAGCTCTTATATCCCACTTATTGGGAGGTCAGAAGTTGAAGGCCCTAGGAGTCTCCATGGCAGCCTTTAACCATGAGTTTGGACATTTTTACCATTTCTCCTGTCCCTATTAAGGCTTGAAACAGGGAAGCTGCCTCTATAGAGATGTTGCATAGATGAGGATAAGTTAGTTTCCCACCAGACAGTAGGACCTCCTTCTCGTAAAGTCAGAATGTTCAGGGTTCCTCATCTTTCCAACAGGCCTCCTAATTGTCAGCACATATACTTGTTCCTTGACATATGACATCTGGTCGTGTGGCTTGGGACATTAACAGTGGAGAGTTCAGTCCTTTGGGTACCACTGCTTCACTATTTAGATGTCTTCAGTCTCTGCTATTAAACTCAGGGGCTCTTCAGTTTGAGTGATGGAGTTTAATCTCCCAGAGACACTTCCCCTGGTGGCAGAGACAATGACATAACCTGGATCTCATGACAACTGTATGTACCTCAGCTTCTATCTGCAGTAATCAAAGCTAGCTTGCTAGAGGTACCAAGCACCGAACCCAGAGACTGGCACAGGTTTTTCTATTCTGAATCTCAGCAGGCCCTCTGGAAAATGTATGTGGTGATACCCCTACTCCACGAAGAAGGGAAACAGGATGTGGGGGTGAGAAGTGGGAGTCACTGCAGCCTGGGCCAGAGCTCAGAACACTAGACCACTCCAGGGCCTGAAGTCCTCTGGGTCTCAGAGCTTACATGGCTGGATGAGACGTCCCATCCCTCACACCACTCCATGGTTCAGGAGGCTCGGGTGGTGCAAACCGCAGAGGTCCTACAGGTGGCTTGGCAAAGGGAATTCCCAGGAAGGTGTGGACTCCCACGTTGATGCCCTCCAAGTGGACAAGGCTACCCTGCACCTGTCCAGAGTATGTGTTCCTGATAGGTCTGGACGGGTCCTGGCCTGTAAATGAAGAGGTGACATCTGGGTTAGTCAGCTCAAGCAGCCATTTTTGTCCCTCCATCTTTTCCACCTTCTACTCAGCCTCATCAAATGACCCTGGAATGAAAACACAGGTTTTTCACATTTCCCACCTGTCATGCTGTCTTCACTGAGGCACTTCCAGGTCTAGTCCATTGACCAGATTCACTTAGGAACCATGGGATTGGGGGCCACCATTCAGCCCTATAAGCTTCCAGCACCTATGGCCACCAATGTCACAGTCTCCTTTCCACCAACCCCATGTGAGCCAGTATGGGGTCTAAGGGAGTCACACTGAAAACTGTCTCATCCTCCAGGATCTCAAACTGGAGAGCACCATAAATTACCAGAGGAAAGCATCGCTGATGCTAGGAATGACCTGAGAGGAGCCTTTGCAAGATGTGTGGCTGACACCAGAGCATCAAGCTCCAATGATGCTCTGTATTATGGGATGAAGAGATGATACAGTCACCCAGTGGTCCCATTAAACCTAAGCTGTCCAGCTCCTGACATTTAGTGGGATAGATGATGGGCTCATGCTTTAGCTGTTGTGTGTTCCGTAAGCAGCTCTGATCCTGTGTGCCTGAGAGTGCAGAACCATGAGTGAATCCATCAGATCTCCATGCCTAGAAGGCACTGGTGACCTTAGAAACAGCATGCAAAAGACCAAGAGTGAGGCCAGTGGCTGGAGGCCACCAGAGATCACACTAGGAGGATTTGGGGTATGGGGCTGCGCACACAGACACACACACACACACACACACACACACACACACACACACACACCCTGATCACAATGCCTTCCTCACTCAGCTCTGATAAGGACCTGAAAATCGTTGACACACCCAAAGCACAAGCTGTTTGCCCTGAAAACCAAGGCCCATGTGAGGTTTGTGGGGAAGAGTTCCTCAGTTCAGGGGCAGGCTGTAGGGCTGGGAACTTCTGCGTGCCTTAGTGGCAGCCAGTACCTTATGCAGGGTCCTTTTGAAGAGTACTATGGCAGTACCACATCAGTACCCTTTAGCAGCTATTACCCAAGTCAATAGCAGCTGTGGTGTCAGCCACACAGAGCGGAAATGTCCCCTCTGTTTTCCTAACCTTTAGATCCAACACGACTGAGAGTCCCTCACACTGGGATGGCTCCTCGGTATTGGGGGTCCTCTGGCATCACTGACCCCTTGTTATGGTAAAGGGGCTAGCTAGTCTGTGGGCTTTAGCATGAAGAGTTTAAGTTAGCCAGAATATAACTCCATTTTGAAATAAAGATTTTGACTGGGCACTGAATTCAGGTACCAGGAAATATCACAGAATGTACACCTGGCAGAAAACAAAGTTAACTCTCCTAGCAATAGCCTCCAGGAAATATAACAGAATAAATGCTTCATAGAAAATAGAGACAAACTCCCTGGCAATAATCAATGGGAATCGGTTGAGAATCGGGTGGGAAAATTCTCCCCAATGTTTCAGATATGGTTGAGAAAAATAGCCATTGTGATCGTATGCCTTAGCCATTGTGATTGTGTGCCTCAGAAAAGGTCACTCCGCCCTGCTAAACCTCACCCAATTCTGTAACGCCAAGGCTTGTGCCCCCCTGCTTGCTGCCATGGAAACCCCCAGCTCACAGACTTTCCCTTTAAAAATCCTGTTCACTGAGAGCTCAGGGTCCCACTTCTCTACTGCTGCACCAGTGAGACTTGGGTCCCGAGTTCGATCGCTCTCGTAATAAAGCTCTCTTGCAATTGCATCGAGTCTTCTCCTGGTGGTCTCTGAGGGTCCCGTGAACCTGCCATAACAAGCCAAGCACTGGAGATGCACATTTCCCAATCTGCCATCACTACCAGCTCCTTCCTCCCTGGTACTTTCTCTCCTGCAGTCTTGGGTAGCAGCAATTCATCAAGTGTTGGCAGCTTAGACTTGGGTCCCCCATTCTTCCCTTAGTGGTCTCACCATGCACAAAGAAGAGGAGAAGCAGAAGCCCACAGATCACAGTATTCAGCTGTACAAGAAGTCTGTCCGTTAGCATGTTTGCTTTCCAGCCCTGAGTCTGTGCTGCTGTGGGACTGACCTGGAGTTTTGACACAAGGCAGAATATATGAACCTTGCCCCGGCAGGAACTTGAAATCAAAGGAGAGTAGGCACAGTGGGAGCAAAGGTAAGACAGGCCAAGGACTGCTATTTGCTGAGAACCAGTGAGCAGCAACAAGTGAGGCAAAGCTGCTTCCCATGCCTGCTCTGCCTTTAGTCCCCTTGGAAGGCACAGCAGGGATTCTGAAGCCCTCTCTTTGGAGTCCCCATTTTCAGAGTCATTGCAGTCACAGGTCTAATGAAGGTACTGGCACTAAGAGGTAGGGGCAGAAAGTTATCATTGGAGAAGCCAGAGAGATTTGCTGAGTCAGAATGACACAGCTGGAGGGCAGAACTGGAAGAAATGTGATCCGGGTAAACGGGTAAACAGGAACTGCATGAGCATGCCCACCTGAAAACACCCTCCTGCTTTCAGGGCTTACTTCCTGAGGCCATGCTCAGGGTCCATCATCCCCTACAATGGTCTTAGGGTATGTGTGTACCCATCCCTGCTATGCCCTGACTGTTCACTGAAACACTGCAACTCTGCCACTATGGCATATTCACTTTGCCTCTATACTGTAGCTACCCTGGTGACCAGCTTCTAGAGATCCAGTTCACAGTTACTTACCTACGTGTACTGGGGCCTGCTGGCTCTAAAACTGAGGACAGGTTGGGCTCTCGGAGCAGGCTCATGAGCAGGAGTTTCAGAAACAGGCAGCACCTTGGCAGGCTACATCTGAGAGTACAGAATCGGGGGCTCTCACCTAGCCCATCCTGATTCCCTGAAGATAGCGTCATGAGGCTCAACCTCAGACAGCCCTTAGTGCCACCTGGGAACTGGCCTTGGCTCTGTTTCTCCAGCACCTAGGGGCCTAAGGAATCCAAAGAACACAGAAAGGCTTGTTCCATGGCAACTTTCTGATCATTTCCCCTGGTATGATATAGCTCCCTCCCCTCCTGCACACTCTGTGGTCCCAGCTCCAGTGTAGGCAAACGCTCTCTCACTCTCTCTCCTCAGTTCCCTGGCTGAAGGAACAGCTGAGTCATGGAGGCTGAGAGCTCCTTGGCATCTCCAAGCTCAGAGTCATAGAACCAGTTTCCTTAGTTAACTGGACAGCATGGTAGTCTTCCTAACCCTGGGCTGCTGCACCAAGCTGGAGGAGGGTCCCCAGGCACTCTGCTACTTGCTGCACAGCTGTTCAGAGGCTCTGCTCTGATGATGGCGAAGACCACAGAAAATGTGGAACACAGAGTCCTGCTAGTGCTTTTGTGTATACAAGGAAATTGTGAGTGTATGTGAATATATGGGTGTGTCAGTTCGTGTGTGTGTGTGTATAGTATGTGTGTGTGTGCTGTGAGTATGTGTATGAGTGTGTATGTGCGTGGCTGTGTGCGTTGTGAGTGTGTGGTATGTGTGTACATGTTCCTGTATTTGTGTAGCTCAGAGTAGCATCTGAAATGAGACACCACTCCACACCCATTCAATATAATCACATTTAGGCTCTATAACCAGGAGTGTTGGCAAAAACATGGAGCAACTGACACAATTATACATGGCTAGAGGGGAAGTAAAATGATTACATGGTGATGGGGAAGGCAATTTCGAGTTTTCTCTGAAAGTCAAACACATTTGTTTTATGACTCAACAATTCCACTCTCAGGATTTTAGCCTGAATAAACAAGTGATGTGATCACACATGGGTCTACTTTGTGTTTTATTTTGTTTTGTTTTATTTTGAGACAGGGTCTCTCTAACATAGCCCTGGTTGTCTAAAAATTCACTATGTAGACAGAGCTGGCCCAAACTCACAGATCCACCTGCCTCTGTCTCCTGGGTGCTGGGATTAAAGGTGTGTGCCACCATGCCCAACTCCAAGTCTTGTTTGAAAATGTACATGACAGCTTGATTAAAATGGCCCAAACCAGAAGCCACTCAGATGTGGACCAACGGGTAAGTGGGTAACGAGGTGGCATGTTCACTCACAATCAAAGGAAAATGCCATTTGAATCCCAAAAGACATTATGCTCTTTGACAGAACCTTTCACACATGACTCTTTTCTGTGACAGGGTAGACAGGCTCTGATGTTTCTGGATGATCTCCACTTCCGAACTTCATTTTTTTAAGTTGGAAAATAAATATTCTCATACTTGAAGTAGGTGTGGTTACGTGACTCATATTTTTATTCCAATTTACTAAGCTATGGAGGTACATGGGTGAACTTGAGCGCATACATATCATTTGATGACAAACATCTACAAAAATAAGACAATTACTGACACCTAAAAAGTGCCTGCTAACACTCTTGATGAAGCGGCCTGTTTGTCTGCTGAAACGTGCTTGCAACCAGCAACTCGGTCAGCTTCCTGTGCTCAGAGGCTGGCTAGGGCCTAAGCCCATGCGGAACTTTATCTTTGTCTGCCCTCTAGTGTCCAAGGTGAGCAATGCAAGAGTCCGCATTTCATGGTGTCTTATAGTTGTTCTTCAATGCGGTGGATAAAAAAAGAAGGACTTGGAGAACCTGAAAAGATTGGAACTCCAGAAGGACAGTTTCTCAGAGGCAAGAAGCTACCACCATCTCTGGTCAATAAGAAGAGTCTATCTACCTGATGACGGAGATGTTTTAGGAAAATACATGCAGACAACACCATTGGCACCTTTATAGAAAGGCAACAAAGAGGATTTCTGTTCTGTTTAGAGGACAAATAAAAAAACTTAGAGATGACAATAAGGCAAGAATGGAAATTACTGACATGGAGAACCAAGGAAAAGAAAAGGGCTGTCACTGGAGTCAGGAGTGTCCTGGGAATTATAAAAGACTGAAGAAGCCTCAATACATGGATAGATGCTCAGGGAGACAGGGAAGAGCAATCCCTCGTGATGGGTATGTCTGGGCCTTCTGACACCCCAAGTTCCCTTCAGACACACACAGTCAAACATCTTCACAGTGTAATATGATCACACAAGTATGGGCCTCGCAGTGTCTACAGACCTCTAGAATAAGAACAGAAACATCAGTGGGCAACAAGAAATCAAAATGGTTCTTCTGGCCACACACACACACACTGTCTCAGGCTAGAAGGGATAATGGACTGGTTATCGGTTTTGTTTTGTTTTGGGGTTTTATTTTTTTTGTTGTTGTTGTTTGTTTGTTTTTGTTTTTTGCCACTACTTTCGGACAGGGATAGATGGATGGGTAGATGGACATTTACAGTGTCCATCATAAGTGACCTTTAATCTACATAAGCTATTGGAGACATTTCAGTTGCTGGCTGAAATAGAGACTTTTAAGTACTATGTTTTGAAGGTTTATATTTGTATGTTGAAGACCATTTGTATGTTGGGCTTGTCAAGTGGTATCTGCATAATGAGCACTACTGCGTATCTCTCCTACCCAGGACAAAAGGGGAAATCTTTTCTCTCATGATTTTTTAATTAAATTTTTATTTTGTTAGATTAATTATACTTTATTCTCTTTGTATCCCAGCTGTAGCCCCATCCCTCATTCCCTTCCAATCCCACCCTCCCTCCCTCATCTCCTCCCTGCCCCTCTCCAAGTCTACTAATAGGTGAGGTCCTCCTCCCCTTCCATCTGACCCTAGCTTATCAGTTCTCATTAGGACTGGCTGCAATGTCCTCCTCTGTGGCCAGGCTGTCAAGGCTGCTCCTCCCTCAGGGCAGGAGTGGTCAAAGAGCCAACCACTAAGTTCATGTCAGAGACAGTCCCTGTTCCCCTTACTAGGGTACCCACTTGGATACTGAGCTGCCATGGGGTTCTGAGCAGGGGTTCTAGGTTATATCCATGAATGGTCCTTGGTTGGAGTATCAGTCTCAGAAAAGGCCCCTGTGCCCTGATATTTTGGTTCTGTTGCTCTCCTTGTGGAGCTCCTGTCCTCTCTGTCTTACTAACTCCAAAAGGGGAAATCTTTAAACCAGATAGTTAACCCACACCACAGAGCAAATCTGCTGGCATCTATATCTTGGTTTCTAACCACACAGCTCATGACACATACACATATGTATATGTAACATTCTTATATGTTTACTTTGATAGACAGACAGCTAGATAGTGTCCGTATATGTAATGAAACAGGTTATCTCTGAATTCCTGAGCTCATGAAATCCTCCAGGCTCAGTCTCCCTAGTAGTTGGGACATACATATCTATCACAGTATTCAGCCTACACCTTTCAGTGATTTTGTCATGGCAGATTAGACTTACTAGGAGACCAAAGCTGTTACTACTTGGGTTTTTTTTTTATAAGCCATTTACAGACTGAGAAAACTTGGGGACTTGCTAAGAGATGTGCATAAGACTGTGATACCCACTCACCTCTGTCTCCTCCAAAGCTTCAGATTCATTAAAGATATCTGGTACTTGGAGAAGAAGAGGAAACGGATAGAGAGAAGATGAGGTAAGGAAGGGAGGAAGGGACAGGACACTAGAGTGTGAAGAAAAATTAGCATCCATTGGGCTCGTACATATACATTGTCATGAGGGAAATTATTGAGTGTGTGAAGCAAGACAGAACACAGGCAGGCTTGGTACCAGCTAACATACATGTTAGCTGAACAGACAGATGAAGAGTGGATGCATGGATATAGAGGTCCTCTGACCTCCACTTGCACACTGTTCCATGTGCCCTTTTCTCAAATAAAATACAATCAAAAATTTAATGAGCATGAGAATGTGGCCCAGGGCTCAGAGCACCCTTAAGTTCCGGGGCCTGAGAACTTCCATTGAGGGGTAGGAGGTTCCATCTCTCACACCACTCCACGTTTAGGGGACTCAGGAGTGAAAACCACAGCAGTCCTGGAGGTGGCTTGGCAAAGGGCATTACCGGGAAGGTGTGGACACCCACATCAGTACCGCTCAAGGGAAAGAGGTTTCCCTGAACATGTCCCTACCCTGTGTGAGTGGTCGTAATGGGGCTGGCTGAGTCCTGGCCTGTGAGTGTACACATGACCTCAAAGTTGAGTTTGTTCTATCGGCTGCTGCCATACTGTGTGTGTTGCCACCTTCTTGTTGCCTTTAGGTCACTCTTGTCAAGGAAAATATCTTGTCTGCAAACACTGTTTTCACCCACTGCCAGGCCCAAGCTTATCTAACCAGGCTCACCAAGGGGCCTTTGGACTTGCTGCCACCATTCAGTCTTAGGAGTTAACAATGAACCAACCACATGTGCTGGGGCTGAAGGAACAAGTCTGTCTTCCATCATCTTGCCTCTCTTGAGCTACAAAAAGGACTGGGGGACTCACATGTACATATTTCCCATTCTCTAGAATCTCAAGCTGGAGATGACATCACCCAGGCCAAGAGTGATGTGAGAGGGACTATGAGAGATCTGCATCCATGGCCAGAACATAAAACCCACCCATGCCATGAGTCTGTGGGATGAGAAGGCAATGCAGTCACAAAAATTGTTCCAATAACCTAAACTGTCTGTCCTGATATTTTGTTAAGATGGACTAGTAAACCACGGGTTTACTCATTCTTCTTTTCATCAGACTGAATACCCTACTGGATGCTATGTAGTCCTTGGGAAATCCCAATCAGAGCCTGAGAATGCAGAGAGATGTCCTCCAAGGACCTCCTCATGCTCCTGGGTTTGTCGCCTCCATCAGAATTTACTTCTTTATGTTCTGTAGAGCTGGCAGATCTGGCCTGTTTCCAGTTTGGGGAGGAAGGAATCAGCCAGATGAATCTGTCACTTCCCTCTCCCACCTGATCCATACAAATAAACATTTGATGCCTCTTGGTGTGGATAGGTCCAGAGCAGTAGCCACCCACAGGGACCAAGGAAGGCAATCAACATCTAAGCCCAGAGCTTTCCCCTTTCCCTAGCGACATGCTGTCTATTCCTGATGCCTTACCAAGTGGTGTCTCTGTCCATGCAACTCACTGAAAAACTGACGCATGGCACTTGTTACAGCAACAGACAATCTTGCTGAAATGATGCTGTTCGGAGACTTTCTTCATTAATGCTCCATTTTCAAGTGAGAATCCTCTTGTAATGATAGGAGGAAGCTGTGCCATGTTGTGAAGTGACGTGTGTGTGTGTGTGTGTGTGTGTGTGTGTGTGTGTGTGTGTGTGTTATAGAAAAAGCCCAGCTCCAGAAAGGGGGCAAGTTTGTGGCCATTTGTGAAAAACAAGTATAAGTGCTCAGCCCTGTAAATCCTGGACATTCACATAAGACTGGACCAACCTGATGGCTCCTGAGAAACCAAGCCTGGGTGTCTCAAAGAGGATGGGACTCAACTCTGCCCTCTAATGGCTATAAGTGATTCTGAGCTCAAGAGTCAAAGTAGAAAAGATTTTTCTTAACAGGAAGCAGGAATGGATTAGGCTGATGTTTCTGCCTCCCACAGCCAGGCTGACAGCCCAAAAAGGAGAAAGTCTAGTAGGAAGGAGCTATGGAGTAAAGTAAGTGTAAGTCCTCAGGGCAGATTGGATTCAAGTGACCTAGTGGGAGGTCACCAAGGTCCACAGTAGGATGCCCTGGGGTGAGAGACATCAAGGGCTGTACACACACAGACACACGCACACACATTGAGTAGTCATAGTGCCATCCTGGCTCAGCTACTAATAGGACCTACAGGCTGCCTGTTACATGCCCTTCACCTTGGAAGCCAAGCCATGCTTTTGCCCCAGGTTCAGGTGGAATCCAAGGGGAACAAAACACAGGGGCTTTCTAGTGCAGGTGGTGGGTGTGGGGTCTAGGAGTTTCTGGATATCCCTGAGCAAAGAACACTGCTGGGAGCCCTTTTCATTGGCCAGTGATGGAGGGCACATTCAGAACCAAATGCCAGAGGGAAGGTATTATTATCATTATTATCCTATGGTGAGTAACAGGAGCAACCACAACCACAATCCCAGCCACTCATAGAGAATGAAAATGTCCCAACTCCCATCCACCCTCCCCAACCCAGAAGTTTCTAACCTTCAAGTTCAGCACCCCTTAGAGCTCCTTATGCTGGACTGGATCCTGTGTTGGGTGTCCTCAGAAATGTCTGACAGTCCTAATGCTTCAAGAGGCCATGGACATCTAGTTGGAAGTTTATTGGGTTAGGGTACACTATTCCCACAGTCATATACCCCCTGCCAGCTCCTTTCCATTGGTGCCTCCTCGCCCTCAGTCTGGGCCTCTGACTCTACACGGTGGTGCAATTCTTCCTGAGGTCCCTGTCCCCTGCAAAAGTTTCGTCCTGCGCTGGGAAGAGGAGAATCAAGAGCCCACATACCACAGCATTCAAGCAGCCAAAAAGTGTGTACAGCGACATTATCTTGGTTTGAGTCTGCACTGCCGTTAGGCATGCTGTGTTTCACAGACAGGCAACAGCAAATCAAGGCCTCCTCCAGGAGCCGTTTGGCCCCGGGGGCAGCTGTTAGGCTAGGCACAGGGTGGCTAGGCACAGGGCGTGACTGGCCGGGTTGTTCTTCTGACCAGCAAGCAGGGGATATCCTCCTCCAAGGGGACAATAGAGCCCTTTAAAACACAGGGAACCTTTTTCTTAAGCTTTGAGTCACTGTGTTAACTGCCCCTGACATGACATTCCTAATGTAGGATTTAGGCTGGGAAGAAGAGTGCAGAGAGCCGTAACTGATATATACTCAGGACCCTGACGGAGAAGAGAGGAATTTGATTTGGGTGAGGGGAACTGCATGTGCACAAACAGGAAGTTGAAGGGAAGAGTGCCCTTCATACCCAAAACTAAGAATTTTTCTTTCAGTACTCAGTTTATGGGTTCCACCTTCAAGTATACACTATCTGATCTATTGTAGTTCCTGGTCTGAGAGGCTATGTCGGCCCTTCCCGACTCAAACGTAAATATGAGGCTTTTTAAGGACACCCCTATCCTGTAGGCCTTTCTTCTCCAATGGAAGTCGAGTTTATGATCGCTTATCTACTTAACAAGCATGTAACCAGCGCTGCCGATCCCTGCTGGGGGAAGCCAGCATGTCATTCTTAGACCTACGGTTCCGCGCTAGCCGGAAAACGAGCTTGAGCATCCGAAAGCCCTTTCAGCCTAGCCTCCTTAAGATGGTATGGGTTCTATCTCAAGAGCCCTTTAGTGCCCTCGTCAAACGGTGTAGGCTTTCTGCGTTTCAGATCCCAACAGGATCGCACGCCCACGAGCCTCGGAAGATTCTTCTGATGCCGTGGCGAAAGCTACCAGCATTTTCCCGACTCGCATTAGACAGCAGGACAGATACACCGCTTCTTGCTGAATCCCGGGAGCGCGGTATGTCCCTTGCGTGACCCCGTAGCCACACCACGCCCTCTCCTCGTTCCCAGGAAGTGTGCTGTAGGAGCGGAAGTACACACCACCAGGGGGTGGTGGGAACCGCGGTTCCGGGATGGTAGGCGGCGGCGGCGGCGGGGGCGGCGGGCTCCTAGAGAACGCCAACCCCCTCATCTATGAGCGCTCGGGGGAGCGGCCGGTGACAGCGGGCGAGGAAGATGAGCAGGTGCCCGACAGCATCGACGCCCGCGAGATCTTCGATATCCGCCGCTGCTGGGCGCTAGCGGGACGGTGGGAGCTTGGGGTACCGGAAAGAAGCGACGTGCAACACGCTGGTGGAGGGGTGTCCCGGTTAGGCATGGCTGCGGAGGTTTTGAGTGGGCCAAAACTTGAGAGTCCCTTTTCCTTCACTTGGCACATCTTATTCGCTCCATTAATGACCCGGAGCACCCACTGACACTGGAGGAACTGAACGTAGTAGAGCAAGTTCGGATTCAGGTGAGTCATCAACACTATCGGAGTGTGGGCTCCTGCTCAAGTAGTCCGAAAAGTTCCATTGTACATCAGAGGCTGGTGTTCTCCGTTCACAAGCACCCAAGAGGATCTTCGGGACGGGGGGGTTGTTTTTCCACTATGGATGTTAGAGCCCCTAAAAGCTAGGCAGCTTGCCCAAATCCATAAAGAGAGGGTCTTTGGGGCTAGGGGCGGCGGTGTGATCTTTATAATCTCCTCTATCAACCCAGGTTAGTGACCCCGAGAGCACAGTAGCGGTGGCCTTCACACCCACCATCCCACACTGCAGCATGGCCACGCTCATTGGCCTTTCTATCAAAGTCAAGCTTCTGCGATCCCTTCCCCAGCGTTTCAAGGTCAGTTGGAGCCTAAGGTGGGAACAACTACTGAGAAAGGGGACATGAATGGAGACGGGAAGGACCCTGACTCGAAGAGTTAGAACTTCGAGGAAACTCCCAAGTTGGTGTGACAAGAATACTGGAATGACTCCAGAAAACAGGAGTGTGGCAGAAAGGGCAGCGGGGAGCTGTCGATGGGCTTGATCGAGGCACTGGCAGGCCTTTAAATCAAAAGCATCTGACAAGGTCCTTGGGTTAGAAGTGGATTGACCGCAGGTGGGCTTGGGGTGGGATGGAAGGGCCAGAATCAAGAGGAGTGTTTGGGAGGAAGGGAAGGGTGATGTCAAAAAAAAAAAGTGAATAAGTGCTCAGGCCCAGGTTGTGTGTCTCACAGATGGATGTGCACATTACACCCGGGACCCATGCCTCGGAGCACGCAGGTTAGTGTGGGCTGGTGGGGAACTTGCTGTATTAGGGCCCCAAACTGTGTGAGGCTTCCCTGTTGCTACAGCAGTGATAGGGCAAGATTAGGGCTAGGAGAATAAGTGAGTAAAATTGCCAGGTACAGCCTCGACCAACACTGGCCTGACTAAAGTCTCCCGCTCTCCATGACCTTCCCTCCTATATTCCCCAAGTATACAGGGACACCGTGTCAGGCTTCAGGAAATACCTGAGGCAGACCTGAGCAATCCCTGGAGGTAAGAAGTATTCCTAGCAAATAAGCTAGTATGGGCACAGGTGATGAGACTAGCCTAATCAAGGCTCAGAGTCCTGGGAGGGTGATAGAGACATTTATTGGTGGAAATCAATAAATCAGCTGAGGCTAGCGGCGTGGCCAGAGTTCCTCTAACCCTGTTTTTTCCACCCCCTTTTCCTACATAGTGAACAAACAGCTTGCAGATAAGGAGCGAGTGGCAGCTGCCCTGGAGAATACCCACCTGCTAGAGGTTGTTAATCAGTGTCTGTCATCCCGCTCATGAGCCTGGCTTTTAAGGATGAGCCTGCACACATGTGTCATAGTCTCAGCTCCACCAAGGGCCTGTGGCTTTGTTTTCTTGAATCACTGACAATGAGAAACTTAACTTTTTTTTTTTTTTTTTTAATAAACCCTTAATTTATATTCATTTCTCAGAATGCTTTAGTGTCTTTCTTTGTGGACTCCTTTGGGGTTATGGAGTGGAGAGTGATAGTGGGTGGCTATGAAGGGTAGGTCCATGAGGTGCCCTCATCATTTCTGATTCCTCCCAGTGAGGCTGAAAACATGGCTCAGTAGTTAAAAGCACTTACTACTCTTAAGGAAGACCTGGGTTAGATTCCCATGTGGAATCTATAACTTCAGTTCCAGGAAATCCACTGTTCTCGTCTGGCTTCCACAGGCACCAGGAACACTCGTGGTACACATACATACAGGTAAAATACTCATAAAATAAGCAAGCTGAGCATGGTGGTGCATACGTTTAGTCCCAGCACTCCGGCAGATTTTGAGGCCAGCCTGGTCTACATAAGACAGTTCTGAGACAGCCAAGACTGTCTATATTAGAGAGATCCTGTCTCAAAAAAATGTTTTATCTCTTTCAAGTGTTTTGAGTTACCAAAAATAGCAAATGTGAAAAATAAAAAATTGAGAGAAATATATAAAAATACATCTAGATAGCCAAGCCACCAATGGATTCAACTCAGTAGATTTAGTTAGTTGACCTGGCCTGACACTGACCTTTGCGTGTGTATAGAACTAAATCTAGAGGTTCCTGCAGAAATATGACCCTTCACTTTAAGGAACCATGTCTTAGGCGATAGAAGTCTGTTGTCTTAGTTTCTTTCTGTGACAGTGTTTATTTTAGGGCTTATTGTTTCAGAGGGCTAGAGTCCATGATGGCAGAGCAGTGACATGGCAACAGGAACAGCTAAGAGCGCACATCTTAATCCACAAATTGGAGGCAGAGAGAGGAGGACAGTGGGAATACTGTGAGTCTTTTGAAACCTCAAAAGCAACCCCCCAGTGACACACCTCTTCCGTCTAGGCGCCTCCTCCTCCCCAGTCCTACCAACTGGAATACAAGTATTCAAATATATGAGCCTGTAGGGGGCATTCTCATTCAAACAACCACAACTGAATAACCACAGTTTTATTTTTTTAATCTGGCCCAAAAATGAGCCATTCTGATCTGAGGATGGTAGTGCATACCTGTAATTCCAGCACTTGGAAGGTGAAGGCAGAAGAGTCGGAAGTTCAAGGCCATCCTCTGCTACATAGTGAATTTAGGGTCAGCTTGATCTACTACATAAGACTATCTTAAAACTAATATCCAGATTTTTCAGAAACAGCATTTAGATTCTTCCCAAAATCTGTGTATTGTGTTTGGTTCTCTAGCTTCTATGGTTTTCTCTCCCCTTCCCACCTGTAGTCAGTTTTCTATAACTACACGCATGAAATAACTTACCAAGCAAGTTTTGGGGCTGGATAAATAGCCTGATGTAAAGAACATGTATTGCTCTTCTAGAAGAACTGAGTTTGGTTCCCAGATCAGATAGCTCAGAAGCACCTGTAACTTCAGCTCCAGAAGATCCAATGCCCTGTTCTTGCCTCTGTAGGCACTCAAGACACAATGTAGCATATACATATACATGCATATAAATGAAAATTAAATTGGGCTTTGTTTTATTTTGCTTTTTTAGAAAAGGGCCGGATAAATGACTCAGCAGTTTAAAGCATGTGTTCTGACCCTGGTCTGTTACTAGCACTACATGGTAGCTCACAGCCCTCCATAACTCCAGTTCCAGGGGATCTGATGCCCTCTTCTAACCTCGGCAGACACCAGGCACTCATGTGATGTGTGAACATATATGGCAGCAAAATTCATAAAACTAAAAAAATAAAACCTTTAAAAAGTAGGCTTATTTTGGCCTACTGCCTTGGAAGCTATAGTCCATTTTAGTTGGTACTATTGCTTTTGGGCCTGTGGTGAAATAGCACATTGGTGGCAGAGGGAAAAGAATTAAGGAGGGGCCAGGGTTCCAGTCTCTACTTCAAGTGCATTCTCCTGGAGACCTCTTACTATACCCAGTCTCTTAAAGTTTCCACCGTTTCCCTGTAGCTCCACTTGGCAGTATAATCCTTTGACACTTGGACCTTAGGAATCTTTTCAGATACAGGCTATAGCACCCAGCCTCCTACATCTTAATACTGACCTTAAAAACCAAATCCAGGAGAGGTATTATGGAGAAGTCCCACCGTCTGGTGTGTTTCTCTGTCCACTGGAGATTAGTCTAAAGTGAGCTCAGGTTTGAGGGGTTGGCACAGGGAGGTGGATTGTGTGTGCTGATTTAGCCTGTTGCTGTGACTCTTATTTGCCCAGTGGTGGTGCTGCTTAGTCTATTCCCCAGGTCACGACAGTGATACTCCTTTTCTCTCCTGAAAGGATCATGGGGAACCCCTACCATCAGCCCTCCCTGGGTTTATATCACCACAAGTGCTGAGTGAGAGAAGCTCAGATCTCTAAGATGATAGTCATGTCTGGGGCTTCTGCCTCCTGTTGGCCCCCTGCCCAGAGTGCACTTTGTCATCCAGAGAGACCGTCTGTCTTAGATCTTAGCCAGTTGGAAGCTCTTCCCCAGGACTCCACCTCAGGATTTCCTGCTTCTGTCTTTTTTCTCTGATGGGAATGCCCTTCCCTGTTGGAGCCCAGACGTAACTGTGGGCAGTGTCCTCATGGATCATCATCAGGGAGCCTGAGCCTTTAAAGAGCTGTCAAATTGTTTGCTTGTTCGATTGTTTGTTTTGGTTTCTTGAGTCAGGGTCTCCCTATTTGTGTAGCCCAGGTTGGCTTTGAACTCAACGGATAGCCCAGGCTGCCTCAGATCCAGTCCTGAGTACTGGGATTATAGACGGGTGCCACCAAGTCCAGCTCAGCAAATCACCTTGGTCCATGTGTTGCTTTTCTTCCTTATCTACACTTCGCAGGTGAGGAATGATCTAGGAGACTATCATAAAGGCTTCCAGCTACAGATAAAACTACTGCTCCCTTGCCTCCGTCCCAGAGACCTAAACCCATTCCAGACCCCAGCTCCTATCCTCAGAAATGGGGTGACCCACCAGAGTGACTAGGCCCAAAGATCCTTCCTAAACTGTAGGCCTCACCATAGCTGAACCTCAGCTTGGCAAGCTCATCTGAGGTGGCCATGATATCTGTATTCAGCCATGTTAAGGGTAGGAAGTTGCTTTTGAGTCATTCTGCTGGTCTTCCTGGTAGCCAGGCCACTGGGGTGAGAGACATCAAGCTGCTGGCATTTCAGTCCTTTTGACATTCTTGACTCATCTGTGCCTGGCTACTGGTGGGGGTCTGCAGGACACCATCTGTGAATACTGGACCAGCTCCCAAAGAACTTTCTGGAACCTCAGCTGTGCTGTGAAGGCACAGTAGTGGTGGGGGAAGGATAACATTTAAGGTCTCTGAGCCCTTCCACCACATATGTCTAGGTCTGCTATTTCTGGACTGTGATCCCTCAAGCCTCCGTTACTATATCTACACAATGGGAATAACAAACCACAGCTAACTGAGATGGCCTCGGGGGTTAGATGACACATAGAGCACTTATTTTCTCCCATCATCCTGCCCTTGACAGAAGGGTCTGGCACACAGGTACTTAGCACAGCTCAGTGAAATGAATGGATTGAGTCACAGAACAGCAGGGGCCCCTGAAGCAAGAGGGATGCAGTGTAAGGGAGGTTGGGGATGCTGAAGCCCAGCTGTATTCGTTATTTTTCTCCCTGGTGTGACACATACCTGACAAGAACCAATTGAGGGAAGGAGGGGTTTATTTTGGATTGAGGATATACTTCATGGTAAGGAAGGCATGGCTTCGGGCAAGTGAGGGAGCTGGTCACATTGCATCCACAACTGGGAAGCAAAGTGAAATGAGTGCCTGTCCTCCACTCACTTTCTCCTTTTTATCGTCTTGGACCCGAATCCATGGAACGACACTACCCGCATTCAAGATGGCTCTTCCTTTCAGAAAAGACCTGTAGATGCACCCAGAAGTTTCCGTGGCAATTCTAAATACAGTCAAGTTGGCAAAGGAGATTAACCCTCAAACCAACCCAGTTCTCTTTTCAACACCTGAGGCAGAGGGGAAGACCCCAAAGAGATTAGGTAATAGAGTTATCTGCATTGTTCATCTCCTGACCTTCCTCGGGACAGAACATTATCCTGAAGACATTGAAGCAGAAGCAAAAGACAGTCCACAGATTCACTCAGCCTGCCCTGTGCAACCAAGGACAATGAGAATATAAACGTGCCTGCTAAGATAGCAATATATGCCACTGTTGAGCCAAAGGCCTTATCTCCACATTTCATGCTGCGTCTCAGAGGTACGGACACATTATCCTTGGTCTACACAGAAGGAAACTGAGGCTCAGCTCGGACAAATCAACAAAGGTGACACTGCTAACAAAGTACAGAGCTAGTTCCAACCTCAGTTTGTTCCTTGTGGGACCAGGTGGCAGGAATGTAGCAGAAACTGATGTTAAGGTCATGTCCTGATATTGGATCGTGGGGCTTCTGGCTATACCTAGGCTTGTGATGATCATCTCTGGCCTGTTGGCATGGCCACAGGAATACCTGGGGTCTGAGTGGCTCTGTGTGGATGTCGTTGCCTTGGCAAAGAAGATACACTGTTGAGGTCAAAAGCTCAGATTACCAGAGGGGAAGTCAGCCCTGTTTCTCTGTATGGCCCCTTCCAGGAAGGTCTCCGCTATCCTACACCTGTCCTCTGCCAGACGTTCTCCTGGACACCTCAGGGTTCTTTCCAGACACGCCGTATGTGTGTGTCGTGGGGGTGTATGTGTCATAAACAGCCAACTAGGGTTCCTGCTTGGAAGTGGTGTGCTGACTCTAGATCCTGTCAGGAAAGGCTGAAGCCCCTGACCCCCTCTTCCCACCAACCCTTATCCAAGGAACAAAAACCAGCATGGACTTCCCAGGCCTCCAGGATCCCCCCCCCCCCTTCATGGAAAGGACACATAAGCAGACACCTTGGCTCAGCTTCTGCTTACTTCAAGGGCCTTAAGGACAAGAGGGCCCTGCATCATAAACTTCCTAACCTGTCCCCTAGCCAGTTTCCTCAATTCAAGGCCTTCTTGGGTGTTGCCAAGGAGACTGACGCAGCAGCAGAAAGTCTGGCTCAAGTCTCCATGGCAACATGCTACAGTCTACTAAGGTCCATCTATGATTTGTCACCTGAGCCCCAAATGGGTGCCCTTCCACCCCCACTGCAGTCATCACAAGAGCCTAAGAGTGAGTCCCTGTCCCTGTACGTCATAGCCTGTACACAGACAGATAATCAGTCAGACAGACAGACTACATCACAATTTGCCCAGTCTTCACCCTAGACATGAACAAGGAAGGAGCAGGTCATGATATCCAATTCAGGGCTTGGTACCTTGAGTCTGGGAGAGAGGCAGACCCAGGACTAGGCACCCAGGCACACCTCATCACCCCTCCTTCCCGCTGAGACTATCCCAGTTTTCACCCAATGTCTGAAAAGGGGGACTCCAAGGCAGTGGTGGCACTACATCTATTTTTGCCATTGATTAAAGGGTCTGGCACACAGGCACTCAGCATGGCTCAGTGCAATGAAGAAAGTGAGTCTTAAACAGACCCAAGGCCCTGAGACATAGTGCCTGAAAGCCACCCCTTGCCACACCCTGCAATTTATGCCCCTCCTAGGTGCGATGTTTAGGAGCAAAAGGCCCATCTTTGAGCTAAGGAGCAAGAACTTGAAGGCTATAAAGGGGCTGGCTCCCTCTGGAGTCCCCCACTGTCAGCCTGGATCTCACCGACTCTGGGCAACCTCATGCCCAGAAGCAAAATGGCTAGAGCCAGGATTAGATATTTTTAGCAGTTACTGGCAGCTGCTTGGCATGCTTCGAGTTAGGGTGGGGAAATGAGTTTGTGTTTTCCTTTTTTTCTAGCTCTGTAGTTTCTAGCCAGGAGACAAGCACCTAGTAGGCTCAAACAGAAAATTCCATTGCCCCCCCCCCCCCAACCTTCTAAGGAACCCCAGCGATTCGTGGATGACACAACCTTCAACATGAAGGCCAGTCAAACAGGGGGGGGGGGGGCAGTTTAGGACCCTCTAAATTCTGGCTAGGGTCCATGCCTGGAGGAATAGGTCCCATGGACTCTGAGTGTGTCCAGTCAATAACTTGTCTGTTGGCTTGGGTAACAGGCCAGGACTGAGCTCAGGAAGGATTCATTCTTAAAGGGACAGACCTAATTTTTCTCCAGAAAGAGTTGTACTTTACTGGTCCAGTTACCCCACTACTGGCACCACCACGCTGTACACCCGCCTCAATACACACTCCGCACCTCTATCCCCCCACCCCCAACCCCCACCCCCGCCTCTTCCCAGCTACCTGCCCCGCCCCTGGCGGGTTTAAGGTCCTAGCAGGGAGGTGGGGGATTCCCGGGGGCGGGTGGATGCGTCAGCTTCGCAGCAGCGTGGACCAGGGAGGATGGGGCGGGGGAGGGAGCGGGGGCGGGGGCGGGAGCGGGGGCGGGAGCGGGGGTAGGGGTGAGGGCGGCAGCCAGGCTAGTGGAGGTTTAAATAGAAGGCCCTAGAGCTGCGACCTAGCGCCAGCTGAGAGCCTGAGAAGGGAGCAGAGGAGAAAAGGGCCTCTGTCCTGGCAACACACGAGGGTCCGATTATCTGCCTGAACAGGGCTCTGCGAGTGCCTTCTTTCTGATCCGCCAGTGGTCTGTGCTGGAGCGCTGACCAGGTTCTGATAGCATCTGTGTGAGAGTTGGTGAGTGTCCTGACAAAGCAGGGTGGACGACACCATCTGGGCTGGGGGATGGATGGGGACCCAGGTCCAGCTAGGTTATTGATTAAGGCGTAGAGACCTCGTGGCTGGCAGGTCCTTCATCCTGAGCATCTTTCTTGACTCCAGGGTCCCCTCCTGCTCCTGCAGTAGAGCTACCATCCCGATTCCTGGTTCCCCAGACGGCGTCCAACACGATGACTCTGAATGGCGGCAGTGGGGTGGGCGGGAGCCGCAGCGCGGGCCGGGAGCGCGACCGCCGTCGGGGCAGCACCCCTTGGGGCCCGGCACCCCCACTGCACCGCAGGAGCATGCCGGTGGACGAGCGGGACCTTCAGGCGGCGCTAGCCCCGGGCTCCCTGGCAACGACTGCTGCAGGAACTCGGACGCAAGGGCAGAGGCTAGACTGGCCCGAAGGCTCCTCTGACTCCATCAGTTCTGGAGGCAGCGGCTCGGAGGAGAGAGTTTACAAAGTGCTGCTGCTCGGGGCGCCTGGTGTGGGCAAGAGCGCTCTGGCGCGCATCTTTGGTGGTATAGAAGACGGGCCTGAAGCAGAAGCCGCAGGTGAGAGAATTGGGCTGTTCAGAGAAAGATAGTTGGGAGACAGGGGCCTGAACTAAAAGTGGCGAGTACTGTGAGATTTCAAGGCACTTTCATAATCATGGAGAGACTGGAGGAGAAAAAGCCACTTACCCTTACTCACTCCCCGCCCCAACCTCTCCCCTTCCCACGTGCCAATCCTTGATGGGGGAGAAGTGCCCAGAATAGAAGAGTCGGGTGCTGGATATGACTCCTCTGTGACTTGGGGAAGGACATTTCTTCCTGCCAGAGGTGGTAGGGACAAAATCAGAAGTTTCTAGGAGAGGAAAGTTAAGTGGTCAAGGTCTCCAGGGGACTGCTGCAGGCACTGTGCTAACTCCAGCCAGTCTGATCACGCCCACCCTATGCCCAGACAGCAGGAGGGCAGGGAGCCCTGGACACCCAGTACTTCACTAGTTTGGGGACATAGAGGTGGAGGTCAGGCATACCATGCCCTCCAGCCCTCAGCTCCCAGGCTTGTCGTGTTGTTTGAACATAGCAACCATCCGCTAGTAGAGGAGAGTCGTCAAGGACTCTGAGAGGTGGGAGGTGTGCTCAGAAGAAGTGGACACTGGGAAGTTTTGACAGCCAACTGATAACTTCGCTATTGGCTCCCTCCCTAGGGCATACGTATGACCGTTCTATCACCGTGGATGGAGAAGAAGCATCGCTCATGGTCTATGACATTTGGGAACAGGTAGGATCCAGGGTGGGTCACAGGGCATGAGGAGAAGCAAAGCCGAGGAAGGGTCTCGATGGAAATTACAGGGTTGTGTGTGTGTGTGTTTGTGTCCCCTCCAGGATGGGGGCTGCTGGCTGCCTGGCCACTGCATGGCCATGGGGGATGCATACGTCATTGTATACTCAATAACGGACAAGGGCAGCTTTGAGAAAGCCTCAGAACTTCGGGTCCAGCTGCGGCGGGCACGGCAGACAGACAACGTGCCCATCATCCTCGTGGGCAACAAGAGTGACCTGGTGCGCTCTCGTGAGGTCTCCGTGGATGGTGAGTAGGCATTGGGTCAGGAAAGGGAGGGAGATCCTGGCTGGGCTGTGGGCCAGCTAGTCTTGGCTCAGCATGAGTCCCTGGGGATCATCAGTGGCTAAAAATGTTCAGGAAGAAAACTTGGTGTTGGAGGGTGGGGGAGATGCTGCTGGTCCGTCAGTTCCCAAAGGCCTACCTAAAACAAAGGGAAAGGAAAGAAAACAGATCTGCTAGGGGAATGGAGGCACACAAGCACCTTCTTCAGCTGTCCATGCCTGACAGGAGACATGGGTGGGACTGATGAAATGGAAGGACATATAGAGAATCAGGGGGTCAGAACCCGATTCCAGGCCCCACTGATCTCAGAGTAAGCCTGGTCCTTCCTCACCAGGCTTCAGCATCCTCCGTTGGGGCATGCAGTACTGAGTACTTCAAACTTAGTGACCTTACCCCCACCCCAATCTACTGGGCCATTCGTTGTAATAGCAAATCATAAAATACTTAACTGTCAAATAGTTTTCTCTTGCCTTGGTCCACTATTACAGATTACACTTTAAACAATGGGCTTTGAATAAATGAATGCTTTTACGTGGCCCACCATAAATATTGGGGGCATAGTCGGCCCATCAAGTGACTCCAGCAATGTTTGGGACTCTCAGGACAGGATCTGGGATCCCTGTGTCTCTAGGAAGGATTTAGGGTTTCTTCTTCCATTAGTAGGGAGTCCTTGAGTTGTAGCTGCCAGATATGGTCAGGGTCTGAGTTGGCATCCTCTGCTCCTTGTTCACTGCCACGTGTCTGCCCCCACCATACAGAGGGCCGAGCCTGCGCAGTGGTCTTCGACTGCAAGTTCATCGAGACGTCGGCAGCACTGCATCACAATGTCCAGGCGCTGTTTGAGGGTGTTGTGCGCCAGATACGCCTACGGAGGGACAGCAAGGAGGATAATGCCCGGCGGCAAGCCGGCACTCGGCGACGGGAGAGCCTTGGCAAGAAAGCCAAACGCTTTCTGGGCCGCATCGTAGCTCGAAACAGCCGCAAGATGGCCTTCCGTGCCAAGTCCAAGTCCTGCCATGACCTCTCTGTGCTCTAAGGCCCAGTGGGCCCCTTGCTGAGTGGGCCAGTGGATGGGTGGAGGGACTGGCCCAGCTAACTGCTCTAGCTGCCTCAGAGCTGGCCCGCCCTCTGTGATTCTCGGAACGGTCAGCTGTGCATGCCCTGTCTCGTGGTCATGGACAGACAGGCAGTGCTGACCAGGAAGGCAGCTGACTGTGAGATGCATGGGCAGGCCCATATGCATACCAGGCAGCCTGAACCCAGCTTGCAGACAGGGCTCTGCCTTTTTCCACGTGCGGACATGTGCCCTGGAGTGAGGCTGCTCTGGGGGGCTGCTGTTTGTTTACATGCAGATTTTTGTAATAAACACTATTTCCTGACAGCCAGGACTGTTGAGTATGTTTCCTTCACAGTGGTTTCAAGAGCAGAAAGAGCTTCTGAAATGGAGAGATAAGGGCTCCCTGCCCCTATGGCTTACTGTGTGGTCTTGATGGTCCTAATATAATCTTGATGGATATAACCAGCACAGTGGAGGGAACAGGTGGGAAGCCTATGATGGTTAGGAGAAGCATTCAAGAAGCAGGAGACAAAACCCCCTCCCAGCCCGTTATCCTTCTGCACTGGGGCCTGGCATTGTCTAGCTGACTGAAAAATTCTATTGCTTCTCCATGCTTAAAGGGAAACTGAGGCTGCCCAAGGACACACACTCTGCTTTGGATCTCACAGCCTGATGAGATTGTAGGCCCTGACTCTGCAGCATTTTTTTCCGCCCTGTTCCTTCTAACAGGTGGAAATCAGCCAAAGTAGGGACATGGAAGGAAGACTTCAGAGATGCGGGTAAGGTGGCTGGTGTTTAAGAGTGGGTGTTGAGGGAGGCACACTCAGGTCCTGTTGGCTTCTCCACTTCCTGGCTGAAGTTTTGCTACAGGGCTCAGTGTTCTCCCCTCTACGAGTGCCTGTGCTAACACACTGACTAGTTTTGTCTTTGGCAAGGACAGCTCCCTAGAGCTCTCCCTGTCTGGAAAGCAGATTTCACATTCACATTTGTATAGGAATGTGTCCTTCTGTCTGCCATCACTGCCTCCCCATCCATTCAGGCCCTCCCAGGAGTGGAGCATATGACTCCCTATATTACATTTTTTTGAACAGAACCTGGAGCCTGACACATTCTTTTAGGAACGTTCTCTACCACTTAGCTACTTCAGCCAATTCGTTTTAAGATAGGGTCTCTCTAAATTGCCCAAGCTGGCCTAGAACTTGGCAGTCCTCATGTCTTGGCCTACTGAGTATCTGAGATTACCATCAGGCCAATTCTTCGAGACTCTTTTTCTCTCCCTCCTTCCCTCCCTCCCTTCCTCTGTGTGTGTTTCGCTATATGTCACTGTGACTGTGTATGTATGTACACAGGCTGGTGTGTATTTGGAGACCAAATGTAGATGTCAGGTGTCTTCCCCAATTTTCCACCATATTCTTTCAAACAGGGTCTCCCATTGAGCCTGTAGCTTAGCGATTGGATAGGTCAACTGACCAGCAAGCCCCAAGGATCCCCCTGTCTCCACTTTCCCAGCGCTAAGGTTACAAGAATTTCACCTGGCTTTTACATGGGTGCTGGGAACTGAACTCAGGTCTTTAATTCTTTACAAACTAAGTCATCTCCTCATCCCTCCATCACCCTTCTTGACACAGGTGGCCTCATAGGAGTTTACGTGTAGGAGTCTCCACTTACCTACAGTTTCTTTGGCATGTCTTGTTTCAGTTACCCTTGACTGGCTACAGTCTAAAAACATGAAGAGGAAAATGCTAGGAATCAATAATTCATAACTTTTAAATTAGATAATGATCTAAATAATGTGATTAATTCTTAAGTCATTCAGGATGTGAATCAGCCTCTGTCAGGAGTATCCATGCTGTATATGCTACCTACCTGTTAGTCACCTAGAAGACATCTCAGTTAGCAAGTCAGCTCTCCTGTACACAGTGCTGGTCACCAGGCAACCCTTATAGGGTAGTGACACTGGCAATTTATATATGCCAAAGAGAAGCTATAAGGTGCTTCATTTAAGAGAAAAAGCATGTGTTGGAAGAAACACCATATATAGGAGGTTTGGTATTATCCACGGTCCAGTCATCCACTGGGGGGTCTTGGAATGTGTCCCCCATGATTAAGGAGGACTTCTGAACATGCTTTTAGGAGCGAGCATTGCCACTTGGTGAATGCTAGGAAGTGGCTAAGTGGGTCTGCTCACTTCCAAAGCCTGGAGGTAGCCTGCGACAAGCCTGGGGCAATGTTTCTTCATTCCCTTGGGATCCCTTCAAACCTGGTTAGAACCCTAGTTACAGCTCAAAAAAGGTTTGAAGGCAGCTCCTCAGTGGATGTCTTAAGGGGAACCTCTGAGGCTTCCCCACATCCTCCCCAGGCAGTATTAACTGCTCAAAGCTTCTGTTGCTTGCACGCATGCGTGCATGTGTGTGCGCGCACACACACACACACACACACACACACACACACACACACAGAGAGAGAGAGAAATGTGGAAAGCTTGCTCTTGCAGGTGAAGGTCCCCAAACCTGAAGAGGAACCTAGGCAAAGGGCAATGTGCTTAGCCTCTCCGTACCTCTGTGTATGATAAGGGGACAGTTCCCTTTTCAGAATGAAGTGGATGAAATAACAATGGAATATGCTCAGAGATGGTCTGGGTGCTGGTTAGTAAGCACTCAGTATGTGTGAGAGCCCCTTCAGCACCCCCACACACACATAGTACTAACCCAGACTTGGTGCCTCAGTGATCCCAAAGCAGACACTCAACTTGTCCTGGCCCAGCTTCCATCCTGGAACACTAACCAGACACACCATGAAAATCCTCAAAGAAGACCCCAAAACATGGAAGGACAGTGAGAGGTGGGAAACCAGGATCTTCTTACCTTCTCCCCTCATCTGAGACTCCTTGTAAACAAAGCCTCTCTTGGATCTGCTTGGCAGGCCTTATGGGGGAGGTGAGGAGGCCCTGGTCAGCCTGGCAACTAACTCCCTCAACGTCACATGATCAGGCTCAATCTCCTCTTTTCTACTTACACACATGAGATGGTTCAATGCTTCACCCTTGTCAGTTTCAGGGGCCATTGTGAGGCTTGAAGAGCTTTGGGGGAACCTCTCAGGCGTCTGGTCCCATCCACTGGTCTCACTAATGTGTGGTCTAGAGTTCCTAACACCCACTTAGGGTCATCTGCCCTTCGGGTTTCACTCTCATTCCTTCTCTTGGCTCCACAAGCCACTTGGCAATATTTGGGGCATGAAAAGGTCATATCCTGCCCAGAGGAGCTGGTGCCGTCTGTGCATCAGCAGAGGCAGCTCATGGCGTGGAATGGGGAAACTACCAGAGGTAGTTGTAATCCAGTCTGTTAGTGTAAGGGCTTTCCTGGAGAAGGGGTGATTTTGTTCTGGTTGCTAAAGCATAAGTAGGTACTTATTATCCTAATAAAGGGTGGGAAGAGCATTTCAGGCAAAAGGAACGGTATTTGCAGAGATCTGACTACAGGGGCCACCACTCAAATAAGTGGGGTCTAGTCTGAAGCCTCAAAAAAAAAAAAAAAAAGTTACATTCAAACCCAGAGGGCTAGGAAGTGCTCATTGGGCTGTGTCAAGGTGGGAGTGACAGAGCAAGATCTGCCCACCTCCTAGGGCTGGCAGTCACGGATGCTGAGCAGTCCTGGATTTCCAAAGTCAATAAGTAACTTGGGGGTGGGGGGACGAGACAGAGCCAGGCCTGCTGCTATGGGCCCAGTGGCATTTTCCACTCCTGAGCAAGTGTGGCCGGACCGCCTACCTCCTTAAGTGTCCACCTTGTGTTGCTCCACCTAACCCAACTTGCCAGAGCTCCCTGAAGAAGGATCCCTCTCTCCTGGAAGCTGGACCAAGGGAAAGGCTTTGGGCATCAGTAGGTGAAGGACTGGGAGCTTCTTGGGTGGGCAGGGTTGAGGCTGGGAATAGGGACGCTGCCCTATCCTTCAGATATCTGAGTAAGAATACTCAGAAATCCAGCTTACAGCGGTGTGTGTGTGTGTGTGTGTGTGTTGCACATTCTTAGCTTCCTGCTGAGATCTGCAAAATGTAAGATGAGAACAGAGGTCCTGCCCCAGGGGCAGTCTGTGTGTGGAGGTGGCGGTGGGAAACAGGATAATCCCCAAGGCCGGAGCCACAGGTCCTCTCTTCCAGAAGGACTCCTCTCGTGGTCAAGTCCTTCGTGACCTTGGCCAGGCTCCGCCATTCAAGCCTGGCCTGAAACATGGAACAACTGGAGGAAGTGGCTATTGTCTGTCCAACTGCTCATTTCTGTGATTTGGTGGGCTGCTGAATAATTGCCCGCTGGGGATCTAGGAGCTAAGTGGGGAACAGGGCTGTAGCAGGAAGGGGAAAGGGGCTTGGAGGTGAAAACTTCTACGGAGCTGTTTATAAGGGCAAGATCCAAGAGGCAGGATGGTTGGGCCTGAGATTTTTCACTTGGTCTGACGGAGAAGTTGAACATTTGCAACAGAGCCACAGTCCAATAAATGGATAAGCGGACAGTAGGCCATAGTGAGATCCCTCTGGCCACATAGATGGTGTAGAGCCCTTCTCCTGCCCTTCTTCACTAGATTCTCATTTCCATGTCCCTCAGGCCCACCTTGACCATGATCTCTGCCTGGTTGTGGCTGTTTTGCCTCTCTGTTATTCAGGTGAGCTGGGCCGTGCGTCTTCCTTTAGATCTCAACCTTGGGGGTTAGCACCTGAGGCCCCACTCCCGCCTACACTCATCGAATTATCCACAAGACTAGTGTGGGAACTGGGAATTCAGAGTCGGAGCTATGGGCCTGCTGTGGAAGCAGGAAGCCTTAGACTAGAATGGATGGCTAAGACCTGGTATGCTGGGGAAAGGGACAATTCCCTCTTCCTCCAGTGCCCATGGAACAAGGTGAGAATTTCCCCCACAGGCTTTCACCACCGAGTCCCAGCCGGCAGAGCTGCATGTGGAAGTCCCTGAAAACTATGCTGGAAATTTTCCTTTTTACATCATCAAGGTGAGCCTGAGCACAGGGTGGCTCCCCTTTACGTTCAATATCATGTGTCTCCTACTTGCAGGGCCAGTTCTCTTTCCTGTCATGGCTTTTCTCTGAGCCCTGCTTTCTAGAGAGTGCGTGGATCAGTGTGAGTAACTAACAAGGGTCTAGTCCCAGAGCAGAGCTTTGAATTAAAGAACAGAAAGGACAGTACTGGGTGTGGCAGAACGTGCCTGCAGTCCTAGCACTGGAGAGGCTGTGAAAAGAGGGTGAAGAGTTTGATGCCAGCCTAGGCTACATCGTGAGGCCTTGTCTAAAAAGGAGAAGACACATTGGGGGAGCTGTTCCAGGCTTGGACAGAGGGTACCAGGGAGCATAGGGAAGTATCAGGTACTAGAGGAAAATTCTACCTCTAAGGCTTTACTTACCGGATTTGAGGTCCCACGCAGGTGCCACCTCCTTCTGAGACTCAGTTTCCCCATATATAAAATGGAGCCTGTCGATCAAGGTGGTATCTTCTAGGCCAGTGGTTCTGAACCTTCCTAACACTCCAATGCTTTAATATAGTTCCTCATGTTTTGGAAAACCTCAACCATAAAACCGTTTCATTGCCACTTCATAACTAACTTGCTACTGTTGTGAATCATAAGGTAAATATGTGATGTGCAGGATATCAGTATGCAGCCCCTGAGAACCACTGAGTCTAGCCCTGCCCCTAGTTCTTTTGCCTCTGTTCTCTCCCACCAGCTACCACTACCCCTTGGGAGGGATGAAGGCCAGATTGTCCTATCAGGGGACACAGACATGGCAGCTCAAGACCCCTTTTCTGTGGATCTAGATTCTGGCTTTCTGGTGGCAACGAGGGCCCTGGATCGGGAGGAAAAGGAAGAGTATCAACTGCAGGTATGACAGAGTAAGGCATATGGACAAGCAGGCAAGACAGAGCTGGGGACCAACTACCCTTTCCTTCCAGGTCACCCTGGAGTCTGGGGATGGACTTGTCTTGTGGGGTCCACAGCTTGTGACTGTGCATGTGAAAGATGAGAATGACCAGGTACCCCAATTCTCCCAAGACATCTACAGAGCTCAACTGAGCCAGGGCACCAGGCCTGGTGAGTGACAAGGACAACCACTGTGTGGTGAGGTCAGGTAGACTCTGATAGAAACATCAGACAGGAAAGAGACAGTTACCACTGACAAATCAGCAGGGCTCAAGCTTGTCCTCCAAGTTTGTCCCATTCTGTGCTCTCCAGCTCCGTTAATGGTTCCATCTACTTTGGGTCTCAGTTTGCTCATTTGTGGAATGGGATGAAATTCAGGCTCACTGCCAGACCTCCATATACGGTGATGAGCATAGATGGAAGCTCTGGGAAAAGAGTGGGAGGTACAGGAGACTCCCTGTCCCTACTGTCCCTTACAGTGTACCCCTACCCACAGGGGTCCCCTTCCTCTTCCTCGAGGCTTCTGATGGGGACGCACCAGGCACAGCTAACTCAGACCTTCGATTCCACATTCTGAGCCAGTCCCCAACTCAGCCTTTACCAGACATGTTCCAGCTGGACCCTCGACTCGGGGCTCTGGCCCTTAGTCCCAAGGGTAAGCAAGGACCAGGTTTGATGGAGGGAGGGTCAGGGAATGCTGGAGAAGGGTCCTCTAAGCTGTAAGGGATGGGTAGGTTGGAGCTGAGATGAAAGAGAAAAGGGCATTCTAGGCAGAGGCCAAGGCCGGGTTATGTACGGCGAGTTTAGAAATGGGATAGATAAGAAATCAGCTAGGAATGGATGAAGAAGCTGTAGTTAAGATACTTTGGGAATGCTATCAAGATAGATCGACCTCTGGTGAGTTTGATTAGAGGTACAAGTTAGGGTTAGAAGGATAAGTGAGTCGGTGATACCTTAACCCAGCTAACCACCTTTTCACTCACCTAGCCCCCAAATGATGTGTGCAGCCCGTTTGCCCAACATTTGCTAATCCATATACCCTCCTATCCTTATACCCACACTCCCACCCAGTCAACCATCCATTCCTTCAGCCTAACACCTACCTATCTGCCCTCCTCCTGACCCTGGTAATCCAATTACTTCACTGGTCCATCAGCCTTTTACTACGGAAGTTGCACTCTGTCAGGTACTAGTTGAATGCTCACAATGGCGACAGGAGAGACGATGCTGTAGTGAAGAGCACTGGCTGCTCTTGCAGAGGCCTCGGGTTCCATTACTTAGCACCCAAGTGCTGTTTCATGAATGCTGTAACTCCAGTTCCTGGGAATTGATGCCCTCTTCTGGCCATTGCTGGTACTTGCACTTATGCAGGTATACACGTACACATAAATAAACAATAAAATAAATAGTTCTTTAAAAGACTATCTCATCTCTTAGTATTTTTCTTTCTTTTTATCTTTTTGAGTCTTTTTTGCTTTTGGTGTAGGTGTTTTGTTTTGTTTTGTTTTGTTTTGTTTTGTTTTGTTTTGTTTTGTTTTGTTTTGTTTTTCAAGACAAGGTTTCTCAGTGCGTAGCCCTGGCTGTCCTGGAACAAGTTCTGTAGACCAGGCTGGCCTCAAACTCGTAGAAGCCACTGACTCCCAAGAGCTGGTATCAAAGCATGCACCACCACTGCCTGGCTTCTTCTTTGAGTCTTTTTTTTTTTCAAGTTTTTTTTTTTTCGGTGGGGGGGATGAGGGTGAGTCTCTTAAAAAACTATTTGTGTATGTATTTAGAGAGAGAAAAAGAGAAAAATAGACATATAGGTATACATGGGTATAGATATGTCTATGTGTCACACGCATGCCTGATGCCTATAGAGACCAAAAGAAGACATCAGGTCCCCCTGGAACTGTAGTTAGCACTTGTTAGCTGCCATGTGGTGCTAGGAATACAGCATGGGTCCTCTGGAAGAGCAGCCAGTGCTCTTGAACACTGAACCATCTCTCCTACCCCCAAGAGTCTTTCGAACACCTGTAATGTGCTTGGCTTTCTGTTTGGTACTGGCTGAAGATGCTTTGGGCCTTGCTGCCTGGGTCCATACTCAGCTGACCTTTTATCCCTTCTAGGAAGCACCAGCCTAGACCATGCCCTTGAAGAACCTTACCAGCTCTTGGTACAGGTCAAGGACAAGGGTGACCAGCCCTTAGGCCACCAGGCTATGGCCACTGTGGAGGTCTCCATAGTAGAGAGCACGTGGGCACCCCTAGAGCCTGTTCACCTGGCTGAGAATCTCAGAGCTGCATACCCACACAGCATTGCCCAGGTGAGAAGTGGTTATCAGCGGCTGAAGTAACCCCATGGCTAGTGCAGCTGAGCCACACAGACACTTGGGAGGAGTGTCCAGGACTCAGCTTGACCCCCTTTCCTTCCTTCATGTCCCCATAAAGTGTGCAGTCCTTCCTGGGAAATAGGCTTGCAGTCCATCATCTGCTGTCTTCTGGCAGGTGTGAGTTTGTGTTCTGACATCCCCAGCTTGCCTATGACTTCCTCAGGGAAAACAGCTGCCAACTTTCACTGCCATGGGGATTGTCACCCAAGTCAGGAATGCCTCTGGCCTTTTCTAGCAATGCCTTGGGGTCAGGCCCAGACTGAGAAAGCAGAAAATAAAATAACCTGTTCATTTAGGCGCTTCAAGCAAGGTTCAGGCTTGGACCATGGTCAGGTTGTCACAAGCAGAAAGCCACATGCTCTTAGGGTCCAGCCTTCTTGCCTGGGAAGCAGTTGGGGGAGAAAGACTGACACAGATCCTGTCTGCCTCTCTGCCTGGAGAGCCTTCATGTTCTGTCCTCCTCCCAGGTGCGCTGGAGTGGAGGAGATGCCCATTATCAACTGGAGAGCCAGCCTCCAGGCCCCTTTGACGTGGATCCAGAGGGGAAGATCCGTGTAACCGAGGAGCTGGACCGGGAGGCCCAGGCTGAGGTGAGGTGAGAGGGAACCCCTGGGCAGACAGGAGCGTGCTCTGTTACACCCCACAGATGTTGAGGCAATGAGGACAGCCCAGAGGAGATGGGACTTCAATCCACTGTAGGCTGGAGGCACCTTTGGCCCTGCTCTGAAGCTGTCCACTGCCCACTACAGTACCGGCTCCGTGTCCGAGCTCAGAATTCCCATGGAGAGGACTACGCAGAACCCCTGGAGTTGCAGGTGGTGGTGATGGATGAGAACGACAATGCACCTGTCTGCTCCCCACATGGCCCAACAATCAGCATCCCTGAGCTCAGCCCCCCAGGTGGGTTATGGGCCTTGTCAGGAGTGGAAACCATCCCATCTTGCTTCTTTGGGATAGATCTAGCTTCAGAGTTATATATCAAAGCCAAACACACCACATGTGTTTGTGTGCAGACACACATTCACACGCACACACACCCCGAATACCTCACTCACACAGACACATCACACACAAACACACTCACACACAAACACATACACACCACACACACACACCAGACACACACACACATACACACATACTTACCACACTCACACGAGCAAACACACATACTTACCGCACAAACACACACATACACAGACACAAGCTCAAGTGGATGGGGCTCTTATCTTACAGGAACTGAAGTGGCCAAGCTGTCAGCAGAGGATTTGGATGCCCCTGGATCACCCAATTCCCACATTGTGTATCAGTTGCTGAGCCCTGAGCCTGAGGAGGGGGCTGAAGAAAGAGCCTTCGAGTTAGATTCTACCTCGGGCAGTGTGACACTGGGAACTGCCCCACTCCACGCTGGCCAGAACATCCTGCTGCAGGTGCTGGCTGTGGACTTGGCAGGTGCCGAGGGCGGTAAGTACGGCAGTACCCCCGTAGTGCGTGACCTTGGCCTCTGCCCCTCTGCTCCTACTGGAACCTCACTGACAAAGCCTCTCCTGCATCAGGCCTCAACAGCACATGTGAGGTGTCAGTCGTGGTCACAGACGTCAACAACCACGCCCCTGAGTTCGTCACTTCCCAGGTAGGCCAATGCAGAGGTGCGGAGATCCTTGGCAGGGTGCTGGTGGTATTTACCAAACATCTCCGTCTCTCCAGATTGGGCCTGTAAGTCTTCCGGAGGATGTGAAGCCTGGGGCTCTGGTGGCCACACTCACAGCCGCTGATGCTGACCTTGAACCTGCCTTCCGCCGTATGCACTTTGCCATTGAAGAAGGAGACCCAAAAGGGATCTTTGACCTGTCCTGGGAGCCAGACTCTGATCACGTCCAGCTCAGACTCCGAAAGGTTAGGATGTGGGCAGGTGGGGAAGGGTCACAAGTGTGCCACCCTGACCCACACAGTGACCCAGAACTCACTGCTTCCAGAACCTCAGCTACGAGGCAGCCCCCGATCATAAGGTGGTGGTGGTAGTGCGGAACGTAGAGGAACTGGTGGGCCCGGGCCCAGGCCCTGCAGCCACAGCCACGGTGACTATACTGGTGGAGAGGGTGGCACCACCCCTCAGGCTGGACCAGGAGAGCTATGAGACCAGCATCCCAGTCAGCGCTCCAGCTGGCTCCCTCCTGCTGACCATCCAACCCTCGGACCCTGTGAGCAGAACCCTCAGGTGAGCCAAAAAGCTCTTCCCCTTACCTAGCCTGGACTTCCCATGCTCCCCAAGGATGACTTTAACACCCCAGAGAAACCCATTATCTTTATGGCCTAAAATATTCCTCAAACTATGACTAATGCCAAGGTTCTGACTCCTGGAGGGTCAGAGCTGGAAGGAGTAGGCAGGTGTGGTAGAAGGTCCCCACAGGACCTCTAACTATTCCTCCTTAAGGGAGCACCTCCACCCAGACTGAAACTATGCCTGGAGCTGAGTCCTCCAGACCTCTTGGCAGGAGGCTACAGACTAGGGAAGCTGAACCAGAGGCTGCCCCTCACACCCCTGACAGGTTTTGATAACCCTTCCCCTACCCACAGTTCTAACACCCTATCACCAGCAAATTCTGGGCTGGTGGACTCACCAGCACTGTTGTTGTCCACGAATCACAGAGAGGATACAGGATTTGATGAGGCCACACCATCCTGGGAATTTCTGGGCAGAAACTGGTTTACTGTTCCAACGCCTCCCCAAATGCGCCTTCTTTTTGGCCTCAGGTTCTCCCTGGTCAATGACTCAGAGGGCTGGCTCTGCATCAAAGAGGTCTCAGGGGAGGTCCACACAGCCCAGTCCCTGCATGGTGCCCAGCCTGGGGACACATACACAGTGCTGGTGGAGGCCCAGGACACAGGTATGATCAAGTAGCCGTGGAGTCCTTCTCCAGGGACGTCAGCTCCACTTGAAAACTTCATATGAAAACCACCCTTCAAGTGGATGTTCAAAATTCTCCAACCCTGTCCTGTGGGACTCTCTGGCTACCAACTCCAGGAAGAGACAAGGCAATGGACATTAGATTAGGAAGGCGGAAGGAGGGCCAGGAGCTGTGTCTGAGGCAGGAGTGCTAAGATGGACCAAGAGGGACACTGAAGCCAGGGGTGGGGGTGGGGGAGCTGTGAATGGCATTATTAATAGGATGTACAGCTGGCTCTGGGAGGGCAAGTCGGGAAGGGTGCAGCAGGAGTTCCATGGAATTCAGATGTACTTCTGCATAGCCAGGGCATGTCTGAGCGGTAGCATCCACACACAGTAAGATAGATTTGGCATCCAGAAAGATATAGGTGGGCCTGATAGCTGTTCAAATAGTGAAAGGGTGAAGGACATGATGAGGACGAGACTGATGGGGGCAATGACAGGACAGGAAGAAGGAATTGGGGTGCAGGAGTATGAAGGAAAGCAGAAGAGTAAGGCTGATGGGGTGTGGGGTATATGGGGACCAGCCTGGGTTATCTAGAGTTTATCCCCATCTTCAACAATGCAGATGAGCCAGGACTGAGCACTTCTGCCACCGTTGTGGTCCATTTCCTGAAGGCCCCTCCTGTCCCAGCCTTGACTCTGGCCCCTGGGCCAAGCCGGCACCTCTGTACACCCCGACAAGACTATGGTGTGGTTGTGAATGGGGCCAGTGAGGACCCTGACCTGGCCAACAGGAATGGTCCCTACAGCTTTGCTCTTGGTCCCAATCCCACCGTGCAGCGGGACTGGCGCCTCCAGCCCTTCAATGGTATGTGGCAGCGGGGAGGGAATGAGGCCATGGAGGGTAGGCTGTGAGGTGGGGTGGAGTTGAAGGTAAGGGAACAGCTTGGATGGAGCCTGTGCAGGCTAGCGACCCTCATCATTTTCTCCACCCAACAGATTCCCATGCCTACCTCACCTTGGCCTTGCATTGGGTAGAGCCTGGTGAATACTTGGTACCCGTGGTTGTCCACCATGATGCCCAGATGTGGCAGCTCCAGGTCCGAGGTGAGACTAGGACTTGCGTGTGACCAAAGTTGTCATCTTTAATTCCTGTGGGAGCCATCAGGATACAGGGGAAAGAGCCTGGGTATACAAGACGCCCTCTCACATAGATAGAACATGTCTGCGCACACTTGCACATCTGTAGCTGGGCCAGCATACCTCTGTATATCTACCACATGCACAGATGAGCATGTAGCTTCACGCAAACATACCTACACAGGTGTACACAAAAAAAAAAAGAAAGAAAGAAAGAAAGAAAGAAAGAAAGAAAGAAAGAAAGAAA